CTTACGTTCCGAGAAATTCGGGTGCGGCGATTAAAACGGGCCACCCTGTATATATATATTTACGCGCTCAATGGATAATTTAATGATCGAAATATTAATGCAATGTCGAGAAAATGTAATGTTTAGAATACGAAGGAGACTAAGAGATGCCTCAGATCCATTTGGTATACCAGAAAGTGAATTTCGCAGTCTTTACAGGTAAATGTGATTTTGTATACTTTTAGAGGTTACATTTTCTGAAAAGTTGACATTTACAATGAAAAGTAAAAATCGAATAAAGTGACTATATTGTAAACTTATTTATAATTATTCAAAGATTATCCCGGAAAGCCGTACGAGTGCTCATCGAAGATATGCGACCTCTTCTACTAAATCCAAGACGTCATGCAGTTGCTGTTGAATTACAGGTATTGAAGTTAGAATAACGTCATACAAAGTAATATAATGAATTAGTTTTTCTATTGAAAACTTATTATTTATTATAACAACAATTTTTGTTACAGGTTCTAACTGCATTGAATTTTATATCGTCTGGTCCATATCAAAAGCGAGTTGGCCAAGATATTATTTCTCATGTAATTTAATAAAATTATTTCCTGCTTTTCCGTTATGTTTATTTTGTACTACTTTTGTTATAACTATTAATACCTAATAATGTAATAATAGACAATAAGCATAAACGAGAATTTTCATTGATTGATCAATCGTATTATGCATAAATGTAGCTTTTTACAAAAGAATTATTTTTTAGCATAATGCGATTGATCAAACGATGAATTAAAAAACTAACTTATAATTACTTCTAGCACTTTTAAACTCACTTTGTGTACAAACCTATAACTATCGATTTTAAAATGTGAAATTACTATACCGGAAATACCCAGTTACTTCACATTTTCACTTAAAAGTTCCGTAATTATTGGGTATAGGAATAAGTTTCCGCCCATTGTAGAAAGATGTCGTTAGTAGCATTGCTTGTGTGTTTGATAGAACTGTAACACATGTGTTTGAAAGGTTTGTGTTCAAACTTCTGAGCCCAATAGTTGGCATTCGTTCGAAGCGTAAAAAAAAGTAACTTTTTTTGCGTTGAAGATGTCGGAATTTATTCCAAAAAAGCAACATTTGCAGGAAGTTTTACTCCATTATTTTATTTTAAAGAAAAGTGCTGCAGAATCGCATCGGTTGCTCGTAGATGTTTACGGTGAGCATGCTCCATCGAAAACCAGTTGTAAAGAATGGTTTCGGCGATTCAACCGTGGTGATTTTGACGTGCATGACAAAGAACACGAAGGTGCACCGACAAAATTTGAAGATGCAGAATTGCAAGCATTACTCGAAGAAGATTCATGTTTATCGCTCGATAGGTTGTCAAAAGAGTTAAATGTTGATAGATCCACTGTTGGAAAACGTCTACACGCAATGGGAATGGTGCAAAAAGAAGGAAATTGGGTGCTATACAAATTGAAAGAGAGAAACATGGAAAGACGTTTGGTCATCTGCGAGATTCTTCGTCAACGACAACAAAGGAAGGGTTTTCTACATCGTATCGGAACTGGCGATGAAAAATGGATCTACTACGATAACAGAAGTGTTCCCTAGATTTTGTTGAGTAGTATAAATGTTTCGGCCTTGAATGTGGCCATCTTCAGTTTTAAATTAAAACGCCGGATATAAATTAGTCAACGCCAAAACGAAATATCCATGCTCCGAAGATTATGTTGTGCATCTGGTGGGATTAGAGAGGTGTTATATATTATGAGCTGCTCTAACCGTCCGAAACCATCACTGGCGATCGTTATCGACTACAACTGATACGTTTAAACCAAGCTTTGAAAGAAAAACGACCGGAATGGGATAATAAGCACAACAAGCTGATTCTGTTACATGACAACGCTAGGCCACACGTTGCAAAACCGATCAAGAAATACTTGGAATCAGTAAAGTGAGAAATTCTGCCCCACCCGCCGTATTCACCGGACATTGCTCCTTCAGATTTCCATTTGTTAGTAATTGTATTAACCCATTTCGTCCCAGAATGACAATTTTGATCATCAACTTTGAACAACGTATTGTCATCTGTTTTCATCCCCCCCAAAAAATGCAAAAGACATAGTCCGCTATTTTCGAGGTCGCCCTATCGATTTATGCCATTTAAAAAACGAAAAAACAATATAAACGAAAAAACAATGCCCAACTCCTGATTTTTTTAAATTTAACAAAAAAAGGATAGTTTTTAAGGATATTTTTGTCAAAAAAGTGCAATTTCCAATGCAAAATACACCTTGAAATTCAGTAAAATGAACGATAACAGGGCGGTCGATGTCCAATGTAAAAAGTTATGCCATTTGGTTATTTTATTTTTTTTATGTAAGGATTGTAAAACCACCCCAGAAGAGGCTATTTTGGCAACAACTAGGGTTGAATCGAGATTTCGCTCATAAAGTTATTTGCACTGTACACATATATATATGTATATGTATGTTTTCGAGGGCGCTGATTACGATTTTGATGTCAAATTTCGAAAATACAAGATGGCGGACCCAATATGGCGACTGTTTGATTTCGATTTCGCGTTTTTCTTTTATATGACATGAAATCTGATCCATGAAGCTAAAATGTGTTTCCTATTTTTTTCATTTATATTATGTGTATGTGTGTGCGTGTGTCTGTGTGTGTGTGTGTGAGCGGGCGCGTGTGTGTGAGCGGGCGCGTGCGTGCGTGCGTGCGTGTGCGTGTGTGTGCGTGTATGTGCCTGCGAGTGTCTGTGGTGTGTGTGCGCGCGCACGCGCGTGTGAATTTGGATGCGCGTGTACGTGTGTATATATACACATATGTATATGCAGTGCAAACCTTCAGACTCTACCGTAGTTGAACATCACATTATGCAAGCAGACCAAAGAAAAAAATGTAAAACGGATTTATGTAAAATAAGAACGTATAGATTTTGTAATACCTGTCTATTTTACATCTGCAAAGAGTGCAGCAAAATTGATCACAATTAACATATCAATGTATTTTGAACAGTCGGAAAAAGAAAAAAACAAAAAGTTTTAAAAAACAACAAAAGTAAAAGAAAACAAAAAACAAAAAAAAACAAAAGAAATGATTCATGATAAACGTCTACCTCCCCGCGGTGAGAATCGATAACAGTTACATTTACGGTACTGGCTAAAGACGTCATATGGAGAGCACTGCCGAAAAATAAACTTAAAAATTGAAAATATGAAAGAATAGTCGCCATATTGAATCCGCCATTTTGAATTCATCGTTTGGAATAATATATTTCTGATGTTAGAATCGTCATCAGCAATCCAAAAGAGCTTCATGGATCAAATTTCATGTCATATAAAAAAAAAACGCGAAATCGAAATTAGACAGTCGCCATATTGGGTCCGCCATCTTGTATTTTCGAAATTTGATATCAAAATCGTAATCAGCGCCCTCGAAAACATACATATACATATACATAT